CCCAACTCTTGAGCCACGATCGCCTTTTTGTCCACACTGGGTTTCTGTTATGACTATAACATTCATTTAAAGCCCACCCTTTAATACCACAAACTCAGTTATGTAATGTTGCTTATTGTTACATCAGTATGACTATCAACAGATCTTTACTGTCAGTTTTGCTGACAGCCATGCGCCTCAGGTGTAGAGGGAAAAAACAGAAACAAACAGGCACCATGCCAAAAACGAAATGATGTACCACTGCAGCAAGGCTCAAGCCGTCCCACAAGCACGCATCTCACAAGCTGCGTAGCTGCACTAACCTGCTCAAATGATTTGCATAGGCCTTGCATCTACATTTCTAGTGTTGTATAGAAAGTAGTATGTTTTCAGTTCATTTCCACATGACATTAAAAGTCAGATGAGTGAATGAAGAGGCATGTCACTAAAATATGTCACTAAAAAATATTAAAAACCGAATTTTTACCATTTATTTATTTTTAGCTAAGGACTTACATAGTGGTTATCAACTTAAGCATATAGAGACCTTTCAGGTATCCCATTTCCAAACTTGCACTGTGACTAAATAAAGTTTCACAATAGTTTTGCATAATTTTTTTTGTTATTTTTTGCTCATAATAAATGAATATTAAATGTTTTTTGTTTGTTAGTTTTTTAATCAAGTACTTTTTTTTTCTATCATCACTGGTTGGCTCATACTCAGTTCCTCCTAGAAGAAGTCAGTTGTATTTATATATACCACCAGTTCACAACAGTTGCCTTACAGCTCTTTATATTGTAAGGTAAAGATCCTACAATATTAGCAAGAAACTGACAGCTATCCACCATAACCCATTTAGACATGAGGGGAAAGCCAGTACTCTATAATTAAATCAGTTTCTTAACCAGTTTTGCATTCATTTTTGTCCCCTAGTATTATCACCTCTAAATTTAGTGCAGTCAGGGCTTGTGTTGTCTTTGTTAAAGATTTATATCTAGCGCTGTCTTGCTCCATAATGCCGATAATTGCCGCTCTTAGACATGGCATGAATAGAATGACATTTGTATCCACCCTGTGAGGTCATGCCAGATGACATGTTACAAAATCGATCTTCCTCACATTCACGTCGTACGTTTCCCCTCTCTCTGTTGCAGATATCCTACCAACAAGTGGGTAAAGCTGGGAACTTTCCATGCTCGCGATGAACGGATAGTCCAGAGCTTCCCACTAGATGAACAGCTTTATGCTAAATATGTGAAGGTACTCCTGTTTACTTGCAGATAGAATAATAACATATCATAAAGTGTACATAAAATGTCCCCATTTTCAGTGGTATATTAGAAATCTTAGACATAGATATACACACATGCTGACATGTTTATATACGGAAATTAAAGGTGTAGGTCCAGGGAGTGTCTTGTGACTTAATAGAAAGTTACTGACGACATCAGGGCGATCATCCTTTGAATAGCTAAATTATAGTGACTGTGAGGGCGTAACTGTTTACATGTGAGAATTACATGGTAGAGGAACTCGACGACTGTTTTGATTGTATTTAACATGTGAGCGTCACGACTGGCCGTCCTAGACTGTGTGGATTGTACTTGCATCACGCTAGAGTTTATATTAAGCTGTGATCCTTTTTCAGGGCACTTACAGTAGTTTCCACTAAAATGAATTTAAATTTCAGATGATTAAACATTAGGTTTGCCACTGAATGTTAAAGAAAACTAAACAAACAAGAAGCATTAAAATAATTTTTGTCCCTACACTCATGGTTCAGATTCCTAAATGCTCCCATATCTGGGATTCTGTCTCCATCCGCAAGTCAAACCAGACGTGCCTCATTTCTGCTTAAATTGCAGCGTAACAAACAAGGCAAAGTGTTCATCGATGGATATCACTTTATTATCATTTTTTTCTTTTTTGTCATACACATAGCCTCCTAGGGAAAGTTGTTGTCTTTTGTATTTATGAAATCTGCTTCTTTCTGATTAAGTGTGTTAAAGGTTGGCTATGTAGTTATGTCTGTGAGCTTTCACACAACAGCCCATTATTATCTATAAAAATGGGTTTGAAAGTGTGATCTAAATCGGTGCTCTTCTAAACCGTCTCTTTCCTTACAATCACTTTTGCCAATAAATATTCAGTGTAGACTTGTTAATACTTGGATAATTATCCTTTTTTTTATGTAACTCGTGGGTGTTTTGTGTAGGAGCTTACTGTTGATTCACATCTATTCTGAACCAGTTTTGTTTATTACATAAACTTGTTTTTTTTTTAGATTTCAGCTTCATCTATTTTTAGTTTCTACTTCCTGAGCATCTTATTCTTTTTTTTTAATGAGTAGTGAGCCTGTAAGTCTGTCTGTCTTTCCCTCAGTCTTGCTTGTGTCTTTCTTGCAGCTTATTAGAAACATCTGTTTAGTGTCTTGCCTGTGTACTGTTGCAGAATGGTGATCTTGCATATATCAGCTGTGTGTTTGTCGTAGAAGAGAGCTAAACCGTACACAGATTCTTGACTTCCTTGTAGCTTGAATCAGCTCTTACTGATTTCTTTTTCTTGTTTTATTTCTCTCTCCTTCTGTCTTTGTCTTCTTCTCGCATCAGATGTTCATCAAGTACATAAAGGTTAGCACTCTTCTCTTTCTGTCAGAGGTTATAATGGGCTGAAATAAGAACACTTTTATTTTTTTGTATACTAAAATGGGCGAGTAGAGTTTCATCTTTAATGCATGTGGATAATAAACAAGTAAAACATGCACAAACTGTCAAAGCTTGGCAGTTCTACTAATTTGGTGGGTTGTGGGTTCATGGAGTTGTGCATATTTTTATACTGTTTAATAGCTTAACTATTGTACCTGCAGGTTGAACTTCTCTCTCATTTCGGATCTGAACACTTCTGTCCCCTCAGTCTTATCAGGTAAGTTAAAGAATTTCCTTTGTCTTCCTAGACTTTTTTCTAATCTTATCAACCCATGGGTGGCTCTAGCTCATCTACTAATTGGGAGGTTGGTGGTTCGATCCCTAGCTGCTTCCTGGCTCCTCTAGTCTGCATGGCAACTATCCTTGGGCAGGATGCTAACCCCAACTGTTTTACAATGTGTTTATATAGAAAAAGCATAGGGAAAAAGTGCTTGTGTGATTGGGTAAATTATGCAAATTGTAAGAAGCACTATTTAATAAAACCAAATAAAATGATATCTGGCATAAAAGTTAATATTTTCTAACAGTTATGCCATTCTTTTTTTTTTTCTTTTTTTTTTTTTGAAGAACAGTCTTATCGTTTTGTCTTGTTCCACTTTACTTAATTAGATCTTGAAAGTTTCTTGAATCTGTCTTTTAAAACAACCGCCTTTATCATAAGCAGGTCACTTTGATTTTATTACATCAATGCAAATTGTTATCCAGACAGCTGTAATTACAGGAGCACCGCTATATCATGAAAGGTCTGTTATGATTAGATTTTGTTGTTTACTTATTAGGCACCACCTTAATTGTTGTTGTTGCTGTTTTAGATTAAATTCTGAACATTGTAACACAGCTAAAATGCCTTTTCTTGCACAGTGAGTCTGATGATGAGGGTTCCTTAAGAATGTCCACTTTAAAGACCTTAAATGCACAATCACAATAAGAAGAAAAGGAAGAAGGAATTTAACAAAAAAAACCCTGATTGTTTTGGGGATTTTTTTTTTTTTTTTTGTAGTTAATTGCCCTCAGATGGTACTTCTTATATGCAGTCATCACTTGTGCCTCCATATCCAACAAATTCTATAGTTTCCTTGAGTTTTTATCTTTTATCTCAAAATGTTCTCAACTGGCATTGTTTTCTTAGAGCTGCATCAAAAAATACCACTGCCTCCGCTGTGTGGTAATTTCAACTCTTGACCTTTTCTGTAGGTCTGTTTGTGTAACGTATTGGTTTTTTTGTGTTGTGTAGGGTGTTTGGTACCAGCATGGTGGAGGAGTATGAGGAGATAGCAGATTCTCAGTACCCCTCAGAGAGACTTGAGTATTTGGATGAGGACTATGGTAAGATGTTGACATCAATTTCAAATGCACAAATTTCAAATTTGTATGTAAAAGACCGGAAATGGATGTGTTAATATTAAATGAATTCATACTGTACTTTCATCATTGTGCAAACCAGTGCCACAAATCTATAGGTTATACCGGGCTCAAAAAGCCAAAATACATTATTCTTCAAAGTAGTTACCAAATACATTACTTCGATTTCTTGCTTTTGTTTTCCAATTAATATGATTTTAATTTAACTGCTACCACATGTTTCTCTTCAGACTATCCTCCTGGCTACCAACCAACAGAAGACAAGGCCTCCAAAAACCTGCTTGGTTCAGCAACCAGTATGTACACATACACACGTTATTATTATAATAATAATAACAATAATAATGGATTGCATTTATATAGCGTTTTTCTGG